AGGGCATTATTGGTGTCCCAATGCAATTTTCAATATTGTTGTTTTAAGTGTTTCCCTTAGTTGATATAAAGTGGTGAGTGGGTAATCTTATTATTTGGAACCCCAGAATCGCTTGATTCCGATTGTTTTTTATGTTTTACTTTTTTTTTTTACATTTCTTTTAGTGTTCAAAAAAGAGAACTGCCCAGCACCTAGGTGGTCCAGAAGGCTTGGGCGCGTCGCCCAGGCCTAGGTGGACAAACTGGGCGGCAGTCCCTGGGCGGTCGCCTAGGCAGGCGCCCAGCCTAGGAGCGGAATTTTTTTTTTAGTTGTATTGATTTTTTTGAAATATAAAAGGTTTGAAGGTTGGGTTTTAGGTTCATTTCAAACCTAAACCCACAAGAACCCATTTTAGAGAGAAAGAAACCTCAAGAAAACTAAATTTTGTTACTTTCATTAGATCAAAGTGTTTCTTAAAGTTATGGAAAACAGATTCAAACATCACCCTGGTAGATTTGATTTAATTTTGGAGTTTTATAATCCTATTAGAGAGTGTTTTTTATTATTTTAGCATGAGAAAACTTCTCAGAGGTGGTAATTTGGAGTTCGAGCAATCAAAGTAAGTGCAAAAATTATTTTTTAGAATGTTTGTTTTATTTTGAGATGTCTTCTTCAGGATCTAATCGAAGTGGAGATCCGGGTTGGAAATATGGATATAACTCGAATCCAAATGACAAAAATTGCATTAGATGCCATTTTTTTGAAAAAGATACGAAATGGGGCATAAACCAGTTTAAGAAACATCTGGCCAGTATTAAGGGGGATGTTGCCCCTTGTAAAAATGTTCCTGAAGCTATCAGAGAGGAGATTAAGCAATATATGAGTTTTGTAAAACAAAAATAGGAACAAAATCCTTATCATTTGAATAGATCTATTTCTGCTACTTCTAGAAGAAGTGATCTGGGTTGGAAGTTTGGTTATAACCCAAAATCAAACGATAAAAATTGTATAAAGTGTAATTTTTATGAAAAAGATATCAATGGGGGTATTAATCGATTCAAGAAACACCTTGCTGGTATTAAAGGGAAAGTTGTTTTTTGTAAAAAGGTTTATGAAGCTATTCAGGATGAGATTAGACAACTTCTGAATTTGAGTTTTGTTCTACGGAAATATCTTCTCCAGGTTCTAGAAGTGATGATCCAGGTTGAAAGTATCGTTATAACTCGAATCTGAATTATAAAAATCATATTAAATGTAATTATTGTATAAATGATACGAGTGGAGGAATTTACCGGTTTAAAAAACACCTTGTCGGTATTAAAGGGGATGTTGCCCCGTGTAAAAATGTTCTTGAGGTTACCAGGGAGGAAATTATACAATATTTGAGTTCAGGGAAGCACAAAAAGATAGAAAATGGTTGAGCAGCCAAGACACCTAGGGCTTCATCTGCACATACTAGTAAGAGGGAGGTAGAAGAAGAAGAGGAAGAGGCAGATTTAGAAGAAACAGAGGAGGACGAACGTTACATTGAAGAGGGAGATGACTCTGATGATGATGGCCTCGATTCTGATGCATATGATGAAGCTTACCCTATTCTTTCTGATGATGATGATGATGATGACTGAAGACTCTTGGTGTTGAGTGTTGACTGTTGTGTTGAGTGTTGACTATTGAGTGTTACCCTATTCCTTCTGTATATTTTATTTTTCCTATTTTTTGTTTCTAGTTCTACTTTCTAGTTTCTAGTTCTACTATCTAACTTTTGTGTGTACAGTCTACAGTGTATCAGACTATCAGTGTATGCTTGTATGGTTTTACTGTTTTAGCATTGTATGAAAATATGGATTATGGTCTTATGGATTATCAAAATTCTCTTCTCGACTTCTATCTTTTTTATTAAAACTGAGATTATGGTCTTATGGATTATCAAAATTCTTATGGATTAATCATTATCAGTCATCACTAATCAGTTTTTTTATTTTTTTTTATTTTTTTCAACTGGGCTGCTCAAGTTCTGGGCACCTGCCTTGGTGCTGGGCAGCCGAAACCCACATGGCCGCTTGGGTGCCGCCTAGCTCTTTTTGAAACTATGATTTCTTTGTGATCTGACCTTGTTGAGTCAAGCAATTCGAATGGAAATCTGCAATCCTAATGGTTAGGCTCTCGATTCCTTGTTTTGAAACACCAATAAACTAATTTCCTACTTGGAAAGCCTTGTCCAGTAAACTGAACTTGTCTAGTGGCCAAGTTTTATAGATGTAAATTTCAGGATGTGCTCGAGTTTTTCCTTTTATGTACTATGTTCTTGTTGTTTTGGCCAATAAATGGTCCATTCTGTGTTGGGGACATTTTAGCATGCTTAGTTGATGCGCTGGATTGGATTCCCATGATTGACACAATGTTGCGCTGGATTGGATTCCCATGATCGACACAATGTTGTTTAAAAGTTTTTAACCCCAAAGTTTGAAAACTTGCTTCATTTTTCTCTAGTCTGCTTTGTTTTTGGCAGCGACCGAGTCGGCCATTGAGCTCGAGCTTTTAAAAGACTGGTTTTCCCATTCGAACATCATGTTCTGTTGTGAATCATTTCGTAGACTTTAGATCCTTACGCCCATCATTTATCTCTCTATGGTTTTATCCCTGCCAATTTCCTAGTGTGTTGATTCATGTATCAAATATATTATTTATTTTTTTCATTTGATCTTTCTGGTGGTGGTTCTTTGTGATATTATCGTAGTTCATTTTTCTTGGATTTATTTTATGTGCTGTTTTCTTTTTTGCGTCCATCATATCTTTCATCTATACTTGGTTCTATGTAATTTGTTCTGATGAATCTTGAATGTAAAATGATGGTGGGCTCTCACTGTGTTAATAACATAGTTGAGTTTGTACTTGTGTGCGTTATGAGGCAGTTTGGCCTTTTAATCTTTAATCCATGTGGCTATTGATTTGTTTCTCTTACTGTCTATGTTAATGATAATCTTGACCCGTTTTGTATTTGCAGCTTTTGCTACCATGAAGAGGGAACCAGACTTCAATTTCAATGAGAGCAGTTCTAGAACTCAGCTTTTTGATGCCCGAAAGTTCTTTCCAGAGGCTAGAAGAGACTGATCGGCATTGCACTTTTCTGTAGTACAAAGTTTGGCATGTTTGCACGTACTTTCTTTCCTCATTGTTGTATTAGCTACTCTTTGCCATGTCTATTGGCTATTGTATATTATTAAGTGGGCTGTGATTTGTATAAGAGTAAGGAGCACCTCTAAAGATCATCAAAAGATGTATTAGTGTTGGGAATTTCAATCATGACCTAAAAATTTACGTTACATCTAATTATGAAATTTAACTAAAAAACTGGTATAGATCAAGCAGATCTATAAACAGATGAAATTTTTGAGAATGAATGGTCGAGATAATGTATCGCAAGATGTATTATTTTTGGAAGTTTAGTTTGTTTTCATATTTGTACATCTTGAGGCTGGGATGATCAATTAAGGGGTTTTTTGGAATGAAAATAATCTTGTGCGACGGATTTTTGAAGTGTGCTTTTTTGCTACAGTATATGTTGCAGCCTTAGAAGTTTTTCTTATCAAGTTGTACTTCTATTAGATTATCTGCTTTAAGAGATTAATGGTCGTTGGACTTTCATACAATTCTTTGGTTAGTTTATATTTTAAGTTGCAACGAGACAGAGGATAAGTCTCAGGAATTATGTTATATTAAGTTATAACGAAGTACTAGTCGTTAAACCCAGAATTGATTTTTTGTTGCGTAATTATAGCAAATGTATCTTCGCAGCTTTCGAAAACCTTGTTTATACCATTTTTTTTATTTTTGTTATTTATTTATTTATTTACAAAAATAACTTTCACGATAGTTGTTTTACTGTAATTCATATTAAGTTTTATTGTAATTAAAATACCGTAATAACTAGAAGTAGTATTACGGTAATTAAAATATTGTAATAACTCGAAGTAGTATTACGGTATTTTAAGTATCATAATAGATAATATTTTATTTACGGCATTCTTTCTACTGTAATGTTTTTATTTTATACGGTATTTTAACTATCGTAATGTCTAACTTATTTTATACGGTATTTTTAATCCCACGTACTTCTCTTTCTCTCAACTTTCCCCTTGTATCTCTTTCAATCCTCTCAACAAATCGTCTTTATCCCTGTCAACTCTTTTGCCCGTTTTTATCTCTATTTCATCGCCATCCGTTTTTAAATTTTCTCTATTTTTCTTTACGTTACTTTTCTCTCTTTTCTCTATCAAATCTCTCTCTTACAAGTAAAACCCTTCTCTCCCAAGTCTTATCTCTCTCTCTCTCTCTCTCTCATTGGTCGAGAAGGAAGCCATAGGTGCTTAATTACGAAAGAAAGAATGTTGTAAAGAAAATATCATTTATTCCAGTACTTAAAGTACCGCAATACTATTCCAAGTTATTATGGTATTTTAATTACCGTAATACTATTTTAAGTTATTACGGTATTTTAATTACCATAAAATTTAATATGAATTACGGTAAAATGACTACTGTGAAGGTCATCGTTCAAAAAAATCCGAAAATAAAGAAAAATGGTGTAGACGAGGTTTTTGAAAGTTGGATTTTTTTTTTTTCAATTAAACTAAAACATAAGTATATTTACGATAATACCCTTGTTTGTAATGTTGCTCGGTCATGATTATTCCATTTGTTTTTTTTAATCTTTCCCAAAGAGTCGTACTGTTTTATTGGGCAACTCCTCGTGACGTTTGAAAATTCCCTGCAGGTAAGAAAAGGAAAGGATTTTGTGCAAATCAACATTTCTGCAAATCAACGTGGGGGCTTGGCACGCTTATACGATGCATTTTGGATGTCCATTCATCACCAGGATGTGTGTAGCCCAAACCATCTATGCCAGATTGATTTGCTGCTTCCCAAAGGCAGCCCAAGTTCTGACCTCTTTGAACTGTACGGTGTCGAGAACTAGCACCTCTTAGTTTTCGATTCACAATTCCACCAACTGAAAAACAAGTCAATTTTTGCTTTTGTCCGCATTAACAAGTAAAGCATTTTGGAAATTGGCTGCACAGACCGAGAAAGAAAAAAAAGAAAAAATGAACAGAGAAAAAGGAAATGGGTATGGGTAACAATGGGTGATAGCCAGAGGGTTGAGAAGATGTTTGATATTGTGTCTGAAATTGGCGTCGGGACTTCCAAAGGTCTTTTTCTAAACTTTGAAGTTGTTTTTCCAGATTTGCTTTTTCTTGCCTTTTTTGTACTAGTAAATAAGACTGTTCATTGATGTCCTTAACTATGTACAAAATGTTCATTAACTCTTCATGTAAGAGTTGAATTCTTTCTTTCAACTGGTGAATCAAGCTGGCTAATCCCTGTACTTGAGTAGACATTACATTATGTTTTTCTTCAATTTTAAGCAAGGATAAATTATGAGATTTGACATTCTCAGCTTGCCAATTCAGACTAGCTTCTGCAGGTGAAATGGCTTTCTGCATTCCATTTGAGTCTCTCTTAGTGGGATTTTTAATTTTCCAAACATGTTTCTCATTATCTTGTGGTCTTTCGAAATCATGTAAAGGGGCAAAATTTGTGGTATAGCTTGAACTCTGTGGGTCAAAAGCCAAACAACTTGGGATGTTGTTTTCGTCTGGATCTTCCCATCCTGAAGGGATGATTTCTGGAATTTGAGGTTTGGGTTCATCTTTGGGACTATCATATAAAACATAGTAGTTCCAATTTTCTGCACATTCACCAAGTAATCCAACATAAGGGTCGCCATTCATATATCTTTCATGTAACTTCTGTTGTGTTGATTTTATTTTCTTTTCTTTTCTTTCTTTGTTTTTTTTTTTGGGAAATCATTCTGGTCTTCAAGGCATGAATCACAGTTGCAAACATCAAACCAATGATGTCCATCAGCTGTTCTTTGTTCATAAATTGGATTTTCTTTTTTGTCAAAAGCGACAATAGGAACCTTCCAATAATCCATGAAACTGGGTTGGAAATATTTCTTTGTTTTGCTCAGTTGTCTGCTGAGTTTGAAAATCTATTATAATTGTTCCATCTGGATTTCTTGTCATCCTGGAATCAGTTTGTTGATGATGTCATCCTTGATTTTGCAGATTTTCGTTATTTGTGACTCTGGTAGAAGGAATCAATTCCAGCAGTCTTTCTCTAGAGATTTGCCTAGGAATATAATGACAGACGGGTTTGGAATTATTATCTACTTTTATAAACGAGGCTTTGTTTTCTTGTTCTGGAGAAAGAGGGGTAACAATGTAAAATGCATGATTCTGTAATCTATACACCATTTGGTAATGGAGTAGCTAGAGTGACTGTTTTAATTTGTCTGGTGCTTGTGATTTACAATTGAACTTTAAAGGCTGAGCTTTGGTGAGGGTCTCTGATGGGGATATTGAAATTTGGGAAGAAGGTAACAAAAATAGTTCCGACATTTAGGGTTGTTTGTACAGTTCCAATACATGCATGCTGGTATTCTAGAAACCTAGAATCTAGCAAAGCAATCCCGGAGACTGCTTCCATTCCTTTTCTTCCATGGAAAGTTAAGGCAAGTTTAATGGCACCAAAGTAGACATGTGTATAACCTTCTTTGATCCATTGGGGAAATAGGTTGCTGGGTAGGGTTATGGTAATATATTGTTCAGTTTGGGTGGCTGGTATTTTGTATTGGTCAAAAGAAGAAGCTTGGATAAATTCTTTTATAGCTTGGGGGGTTTTTTTCCACATAATTTCTTGATCCTTTTAGTCCAATTCAAACTGGATTTATCATAAACATGATAAGGATTTATCAATTGGGATTTTGTTTCTAAAATTTTTTCTAAAGTATAAGTAATTTAAAACAGATGGCCTTGTTTTGAAAATATAGGACTGAAATCCGAACTTGTAAAAGTACTACTATCTAAGGAAATTTCAGTAATAGCATCTCTGCCATTTAAATATTGTTATTATTTTGACTGTGATTTTTGAAAATATAGAAGGTAATACCAGTTTTCTTTTTTGTTAACAAAGTATGATCCCAAAAGGCATTCAGGCCCATAACAGGTTCCTGTTATTTTAACCTTAGAAAACATTGATAGTGGAATAATCAAACACTCTTGAAATTGCCTTAAGTACATACTATCTTTTCTGATGCGAGAGATTCTAGACCGGCTAGGCAGACGCAGAGCATACTAATCTCAGTATGGACATAATGTTAACCCAGTCAAAATAATACCATTAAAATCAAACCAGGCTCTGATACCATTAAGTGACATTTAATGACATAGATGCAATTATGTGATAACAAACAGATAACAAATAGTGACATAGTAAGGTTATACTATGTGTTACCATAACCCTACACAACAACCTATTTCCCCAATGGATCAAGGAAGGTTATACATATGTCCACTTTGGAGTCATTAAACTTGCATTATTAACTTTCAATGGAAGAAAAGGAATGAAAGCAATTCCCGGATTGCTTTGTTACATTCTAGGTTTATAGAATACCAGCATGCATGTATTGGAACTGTGCAAACAACCCTAAATGCCGTAACTATTTTTGTTACCTTCTTCACAAATTTCAATATCCCCATCAGAGACCCTCACCAAAGCTCAGCCTTTAAAGTTCAATTGCAAATCACAAGCACCAGACAAATTGAAACAGTCACCCTAGCTACACTCCATTACCAAATGGTGTATAGATTACAGAATCATGCCTTTGACATTGTGACCCCTCTTTCCCCAGAACAAGAAAACAAAGCCTCGTTTATAAAAGTAGATAATAATTCCCAACCCGTCTGTCATTATATTCCTAGACAAATCTCTAGAGAAAGACTGCTGGAATTGATTCCTTCTACCTGAGTGATAAATTATGAAAATCTACAAAATCAAGGATGACCTCATCAACAAACTGATTCCAGGATGACAAGAAATCCAGATGGAACAATTATAATAGATTTTCAAACTCAGCAGACAACTGAGCAAAACAAAGAAATATTTCCAACCTAGTTTCATGGATTATTGGAGAAGGTTCCTATTGTTGCTTTTGACAAAAAAGGAAATCCAATTTATGAACAAAGAATAGCTGATGGACATTATTGGTTTGATGTTTGCAATTGTGATTCATGCCTTGAAGACCAGAATTATTTCCCAAAAAAAAAAAATAAAGAGAGAAAAGAAAAGAAAAAAAAATCGTCACAACAGAAGTTGCATGAAAGATATATGAATGGTGACCCTTATGTTGGATTACTGGGTGAATGTGCAGAAAATTGGAACTACTATGTTTTGTACGGTAGTCCCAAAGATGAACCCAAACCTCAAATCCAGAAATCATCCCTTCGGGATGGGAAGATCCAGACGAAAACAACATCCCAAGTTGTTTGGCTTTTG